GGAGGATGTGCTCGGGAATTGGGTAGGATGTGCTAGGGGTTGGGGGAGTATGTGGAGGGGGATGGGGGAGGATGTGCTGGGAGATTGGGGAGGATGTGCTGGGAGATTGGGGAGGATGTGCTGGGGGATGGGGAGGACTGTTGGGGGATTGGGGAGGACTGAAGGGGGATTGAGGATGACTGTTGAGGTATTGGGGAGGACTAGAAGGGGATTGGGGAGGACTGCGGGCAGATTGGGGAGGACTCCTTTCAGATTTGGGCATTTGATTGCCCTTTGACCTGGCTTTCTCCCTGTACCCTTGGAGTTGCTGTGACAACGGAACTCAGGGACCCCAAGTAGCAGTTGGCCGGGCTTCCCAGCTTGTCATCCCTGCCCTCTATTTGCAAGAGGAGGGAGATGCGTTCAGGGGGAGCGGGGGCATGGGGGCTGGAGGGAGAGGCCCCAGCTCAATGCCCAGTGCTTTCGGCTCCACCCCCTGCCTCTTCCCCTTCCCTGCCTGGGCTTTGCCCCAAACTGCCCACCTCCCGGAAGTCATCTGAGGTACCCCCCACAGCAGGATCAGGGAAAGGACATTTCCTCAGGCCTCAGGAGGATAGAGTCCCCGCCCGCAGATGCAGGTCCGGGTGGGCTGGTTCAGCAGCCAGCCCTTGGAGAGTCCAGCTGGTGACCACCTTCACCCCGACTGTTACTGAGGAGGGGTCTTCTGGCCCAGTCATGTCCGGTCATTGCATGGGTGGCCCCAATCAAGACAGCTGCCAGGGGCCTCGCTCAGCCTGTCCAGCCCCCTGAGGCCCCCACCCCAGCCCAGCCCACCCTCCCTGCTGGGGTGCTCTCTCTTTGTTTACAGTTCTGACCCCACTTAGGAAGAGAGGGGGCTGCTCAGGGGCCACAGGACAGATGTAGCTTAGCTGGCTCTCAGGGACAGGGTTGGGGGAGCCCTGGCTCCCACATGGGCCTCCTCTGGCCCTGACCAGCCCCCCTCCCACCCAGCACAGTCATCCTGCTCTGGTCCACACTCCTAGTGGTCCTGGGGCCCATGCTTGACCCCGGGTGGGCGGCAGGTTCCTCCCCTGGCCTGTGGTCTGGTGGGAGCCATCTACCCCCTCCCAGGTTTGACTTCTCAGAACGGGTGTGGCCATGGGTGCAGGAGGGAGGGGTGGTCCATGTGTGTGCTGGGTGCTCGAGTGTGGGGTGCTTGGATTGGAGTCGAGGCCAGCCTCCTCGCAGGGGAGCCCTGGGCTAGTTGTCCACCCTCCCTGGGCCTCAGTTTCCTCGTCTGTAAGAGGAGCACGCAGGCCTCTGCCCAAGGGGCTGCTTGAAGGTGCGAGCAGCCATCGCAGCCAGGGTGTCCTGACCTGGCCTGCTGCTGTCTGAGTTAGTGGCCCTGACATGAGCTTGGAGACGATGTTTGGTGCCGGGTGGCAGGGGAGGGTGGAAGGAGGCATCTGCATGTACCCCAGGGCTGTGGTGAGGTGCCTACCCTCAGAGCTGGGAGCTGGGACCGTAGGCCAGTGCCCACCTCACAGCAGGCGGTGCCTGGCCCCTCAGCAGCCCAGCACGGAAAAGCCCAACGCAGTTTACTCTGGTAGAAGCTAGGGATCCAGAGCCTGGGGCCCCACCAGCCCATTCACCCTATTTTCCCTCTGTGTCCCCCACAGAGGGTTCCCCAAAGATTTCCTGAAGCGCTGTGTGAGGACATTCATTTAGGGCAACCACTGCAAATGGGAGACCCCAGGCTGGGGAAGAAAAGGGCCTCCAGGCTCAGGACCCCTCCCCTCTGCCCCCTCCACCCACCCCAAGCCCAAGGTTTCCCAACTGCTCTGCCTCAGTCCCTTGGGGCCTAGTCGGCGATGCAGGGACCAGGCCACGAGTTCCAAGTACTTGGCTATTAATTACGATGTCGCTGCGGCCAAGAGCCACTTTGCCACAATGCCTCCCTGGTCCCCAGAGTCTGCATCAGGGAAAAAGGATGGCCGGGCTCCCTGAATAATTCATGCTCAGAGGGAGCACACAGGGCAAGGAGCCTGGTGAAGAGGCGCTTGTTCTCCCAGCTTCCCGCAGGCTGGCCCTGCCCCCAGATTTCCCAGCCACCGTGTGAGCCCAGCCCCCCACGGCCCACCCAGCCCCCGGGGCCCACCTGTGCCGGCTGCCCTCCCAAGCCAGCAGGCAGGTGAAGCAGACCACCCACATGATGGAGTCACCCCAGGCAGACGGCCAGGGTGATGAGGTCTTGGGGACAAGCCCTGGTGGGGCTCCCCAGCCCCCCACCCTGGGTCTGTGCAGTGACTGAGAGGGGGCCCATCTGGTGAGAAGCTCTCAGCCCAGGAAGCCCCCTGCCTTCCCGCCGCTCCGATCCTGCTCCTGGGGGGCATCCTGGGTCTCTGGAAGATGAGGCTTAAAGAATACCCAAGGACAGGTGTCAGGGCGCGGGGACCCCGAGACCTCCTGGCCCATCCCCAGTTCTCACAGTGAACTGCAGCTAAGCCTCTAGCAGGACCTAGTGAGGACAGGCAGGGGGCCCCGGTAGCAGCCCAGGCCCTGGGCAGAGGACCCCAGCCTGGCTCCCACACTGCCCACTGGCGTATCTTGGTCTTGCCGAGTTCTGCTTCCTCATCATCCCTGCCTTCCGGAGTGTGGGGGAGACGCCCAGCAGAGTGGGCAGAGAGGGAGTACTTGGTCACCAGCGTCCACTGTTACTGCTCCAATACTGTGGATAATGGGACCCCTTGCCCAGAGCCACATGGGTCCTCCCTGGGCCGTGGGGGCGGAGGAGTCATCCGGAGGTGGGAAGTTTGGGGGATGGACCAGGACGGGGGGTCTGAGCTGGCCTCTGCCATGGTTACATGGGCCCTCCCCCTCGCCCCACCAGGACCTCCTTCTGCAGGGACTACATCTCAGTCTTCACGTGGCCCGGCAGGCCCCTGCGCCATGTTGCCACCCGCTCTGGCCCTTGTGGGGCCTTGGGCAGCCGGGCCTCCGCCCCACAGCCCAGGGCA